AGAAGGCTAGATCTTTTTTAAAAGATTTATTAATTTTTATTGGAAAGGCAGATTTACAGACCAAAGAAGAAAAGAAGATCTTCCATTCACTAGTTCGCTCCCCAAGTAGCCAGAATAGCCAGAGCCAATCTGCAGCTAGGAGCCAGAAGCCAAATCTAGGTCTCCCATGCAGGTGCAGGGTCCTAAGGCTTTGGGGCATCCTCAACTGCTTTCCCAGGCCATAGGCAGGGAGCTGGATGGGAAGTGAAGCAACCAGAAGATTAACTGGTGCTCATTTGGGATCCCGGTACTTGTAAGGAAAGTATTTAGGCAATTGAGCCATCACTCCATGCCCAAGAAGGTTAAATCTGAAGCCAAAGAAGAATCCGCTTTCCACTGTCAAATCAAAGGCTCCAGAATGGGCAAACTAAGCACCTTTGAAAATTAGAATGGCAGTAGGGTTAAAAGTAGAAAGACCATTGAACATCTGTTTAAAAAGCAGCTTTGGGGCTGACACTGTGCTAATCTTCTGTCTACAACCATTGCATCCCATATGGGCTCCAGTTCATGTCCTGGCTATTCCACTTCCCATCCAGCTGCCTGCTTATGGCCTGGGAAAAAATCAGAGGATGGCCCAAACTTTTGTGATCCTATGCCTACATTGGAGACCAGGAAGAAGCTCCTGGCTCCTGGCTCCTGGCTTTGGATCAGCTCAGCTCCAGCCATTGCAGCAATTTGGAATACCAATGGATGGAAAATTTTTCTCTGTGTTTCTGTTTGTAAATCTGCTTTTCCAGTAAGAATAAATAAGTCTTAAAACAAAACCAAAAAACATAGCTTGACTTTTCCATTCCTCCTTCTCTAAGAGTGAGGCATGTCCTCCACCCTTTTGCCATCAAAAAACTGAGATTTTATCTCTTGAAGACCTCTAACCACAGGAACACCAGGCAAGTTCCTTACCTAAACAGGGCAATTGAATTCATCTTTCATATTGAACATTGAGACTTCCCCTCCAACAATATTCACAGTCCCTTTCCTTCATTTGGTTTCCAGTCCTAGTCCCTTCAGAAATATCCTTCTTTAACAAAAAAAATACCTGAAAGATACTGAAGTCAGGGGTTGTGCAACAAACCAGCACAGGCAAATCACTGCAGGTAAACCTACTCAACAAGCCCTGCCCTTGCTTTCAAGGCTTGCAATCTTGTTTTTCAGTGCCAAGTTTGTAATTAGATAAACAAATGAATCAAGGATCAATGTACAATTTAAGGAAAATTATTTTTGATGGCCTTTCTATTCATTTGAAAGGCAAAGCTTCAGAGAGAGAGAAACACAGAGAGATCTTCCATCCACTGGATCACTCCCCAAATGGCTACACCAACCAGAATTTGGCATGTCTGAAGCCAGGAGCCAGGAGATTCCTCAGGGTCTGCCATGTGGGTACAGGAACCCAAAAGCTTGGGTTGTCTTCAACTTTCCAGGCTGTTAGCAGGGTGCTGGATACAAAGTAAAGCAGCCAGAAGTTGAACCAGTGCCTAAATGGAACACTGGCACCATAGGCAATGGTGTTGCTCGCTGTGCCACAGCACCAACCCCTAGAAAAACTTCTGAAATGCAATATGCATACCCAAACTGAAATATAGGAAATTTTAAAATTAAAGGGAAACAATAGAAGAAATAGATTGTGAAAGAAGAAACTCACAGACCCAGCGCTACAGTATAATAGAGGAAGCCTGAACTTACATTTCCACATGGGAGCCCGTTCTATTCCCAGATGCTCTACTTTCAATTCAGCTCTCTACTAATGTGCCTGAAAATGCAGAAGATGGTCCAAGTCATACAATCCCTGCAGCCATGTGGGACCAAGAGGAAGTACCTGGCTCCGAAGCTATCCAGCTCTGGCTGTTGTGGCCATTTGGGGAGTAAATCAGTGGAAGTAAAAATATTTCTTTGTGGCTCTCCTTCTCTCTCCAAATTCATCTTTCAAATAAAACTAAGAAATCTTTTTAAAAAGAGAAGAAAGTTAAAGAAACAAAGCTATCCTTGATATCCTCAGGGATGTAAAAGATATTCCATCTATGAAATAAAAACAGGGCCTGGTGCAATGGCCTAGTGGCTAAAGTCCTTGCTTTCATACTCTGGGAACCCAAATGGGCACCAGTTTGTGTCCCTGCTGCTCCACTTCTCATCCAGCTCCTTGCTTGTGGCCTGGGAAAGCAGTTTAGGATGGTCCAAAGCCTTGGGACCCTGCACCTGCATGGGAGATCCAGGAGAAGCTCCTGGTTCCTGGCTTCAGATCGGCTCAGCTTCTGCTGTTGTGGCTACTTGGAGGAGTGAACCACCAGATGGAAGATCTTTCTGTAGCTCCTTCTTTCTGTAAATCTGCCTTTGCAATGAAAATAAATAAATCTTTAAAAAAAAAAAAAAAGAAAAGAAACAGATTGCTTTTTTTAAAAGTCAAAATTGGGGCCAATCAGCTAATCCTGTGCCTACAAGTGCTGGCATCCCATATATGGGTGCCATGTTCCAGGTGCCGAGCTCCCTGCTTGTGGCCTGCGAAAACAGTGGTTGGAACCCTGGAGTCATGTGGGAGACCAGGAAGTAGCTCCTGGCTGCTGGTTTCTGGCTTTAGATTGGCTCAGGTTGACCATTGTAGCCATTTGGGGGAGTGAACCAATGGATAGAAGATCTTTGTCCTTCTGTTTGTAAATCTGCTTTTCCAATGAAAATAAACAAATCTTGAAAAGAGAGAGAGAAGATAACTCATCACAGCTGTGCAAGTGGTCCTTCTTGATCCTTCACAGATGTCTTAAAAACTCAAACTGAACAAAAAATGCTTTCGCAAATTGGAATTGTGATAGTTCAAGTGAAAAAGGCAATAAAAAATTTAGTAATAGCAGATAAAGTTGAGCTAAACTCCAAAGAACAAAATAATGGGAAATAGGAGAAAAATACTTAAGAAAATTGGCAAACTAGTCCTGGGTGCCCAACACCCAAAAAATAAGCATAATTATAAGAGAGAATATAGAGAGTACTAGAGAGGAAGTCATCAGACATAATTAAGAAAATTTCCGAGAATAGAATAATGTATTTCTAGATTAAAGGGGCCTACAAGGTGCCAGAACAATGGATGAAAATATACACCAACACAATTCATGAAACCTCAGAAAATTTGGAGCAAAATTAAAATCTTATAAGGTTCAAGAATGGAAGAAACAGTCACCTACAAAGAAATTAGAATTATAATGATTTAGTCTTCCCAGAAGCAGCTTGGGATATCAGATGACAAGGACTTTAAAATTATGGAGGAAAATCCTGTGTAGCCAAGACTTCTCTGTCCAACAAAATCATCAATAAAGTTTATAACCAGAGTGACATTTTTTTCTCATATAAAATACCAAAAAGTATATTTTCTGATAGAGTAGCTATGGGTGGCAGTAGTTAATTGAACATTTCAAAATAGCTAGTAGGTAGAATTTTGAACACGAACAAATGATAAATTTTTGAGATAAAGAATATGCCAGTTGCCTCACTCCAACAATTTCCCATTTGAATAAACATATTGAAATTTCACATTGTACCTCATAATTATCTACAATTAATATGTTTCAACTAAAGATTAAATTTAGGGTAGGTGTTTGGTTTAGTAGTTAAGACACTGATTGAAAAGGCAGAGGGACAGAGAGAGGGTAGACATAGAGGGAAAGAGAGATCTTCCTTCTACTGGTTCACTATGTGTTTACAACAAACAAATAAATATTCTAAAGTTTGTAAAAAATAGAACTAAAAGATGTTTTTATAAATAAAATAGAAGGTCTTGTTCCTGTACTTTTTAAGCTACATGATGTTCCACTGGATTATATCTTAAAGAGTGATGTTATAATTTTATTTTCAAATGTCAATAAAGTATGTTAGAAGTTACTTCTTTAGCAACTACTTACAATTAGAACTTAAGAATCTAGATGTCAAAATTCACATAGGAGTATGTGTTCCAGATCCTCTGGAGATATGTAGAACATTTATAGCCTGCTAGGCTATCCCTTGGTCTGGTATAGTCTCATTACTTTCTTGAGTAGCTTTCTTCCCATCTAAATTACAAGTTTTCTTTGTATGAGAATTAAGTCAATCCAATTTCTTGTGTTTTCCCAAGTGGTTTTGGCAGAGAAGCATTAAGCAAAGACAGCCAGGAAGCTGAGTGAGACACTCCAGCAATCTCTACGCTGGCAGTATTGTAGCTCTGGGAATGAAGGATGTATGTGTCTTACAAATATGCTTATCACTGCACTGTGATGAGGAAGATTTTCCTGTTACAAAATATGGTTCCTCTCTACCCACTACTTCTTACTGATAGATGGAATCCCTTCGAATTATATTCACAAATCTTTCATTTGTACTTATTAACAATGCATATGTCCTTGGGAAAAGTGACATTGAGCTAGAACCAAATTAAATTGGATTAATTCCTAAGAGCAAATTTTTATAAAGGAGAATGTGGAGCATAAAGAGGTCTGGTGTTTACATAACTGCAGAGTAAGCCAAGTGTCTCCTCTTTAATGAAGTGGACCTGGGGACCCCAGCAAGCAGGACTTCACCAGTTCTGAAATGATCAATTGCATCAGTGTCCACTCTGCTAGGCAAACACTGGTTTTAACAGAGAAAATCTTGGTGTCTACGCTGACCAAGACATGAAGATATTTTCCAAGAGTGGCCTGTTAATCTACAGTTTTCAGATCACTGCAAAATAGGCCTAAGCTCACACAACTGGACCTTCCACTGAGTGAGTAAATGAACTAAAATATTTTCCTGTTTCCAGAACACTATCAAAACCTTTCTGAGATTTTTTTCTTCTGTTGTAAGGAAGATTTTAGGGCAGTGCTTGGAACATTGGTAGGCCTTCAGAAGAGACTGGTCAAAGGAGCAGATTTTCAGGAAAGGAAGGAAGAGAAGGGACTTCTTAGGAGTAATTAGGCTGCCAATTAATCTGAAACCTGGGTCACTAATGATTTGCTTCTTTTTCTCTGCAGCAAGTGAAAGGAAACTTTGCTAGGCTGCAGGCCTGCATCTCAGAGCTCCGCATGCTACAGAGAGAAGGTTGTTACAGGCCACAGCATGCATCTCTACAGCTGGCAGTACAGGATGGGCTCCAGCAGTTCAAACAATACAGCAGATATATGACCAGGAGTACAGCCCTTACCTGCACTTCCCTGGAGGTGAGTGTTGCTGGCTATTAAGACTCAAAGCCATCTTCCCATTTCAACCCATTGAAGTATCACACTTCATCCTTACATGAGTCTGTTTAACACACATCTGATATAATTATCAGGGCTCCATTTTCACCTCCCTGCACACAGAGGGCATATTCCTTATTTTCCTATAACCTTTATATTTCTGAAAGCAGAAATGGGGAACCAGCATTGCAACCCAGTGGGTTAAGCCACCATCTGCAACCCCAGCATCCCATATCAGAGCTATGGTTCTGAGTCCTGCTGCTGCTCCACTTCTGATCCTGCTCCCTAATAATGCACCTGGAAAAGCAGCAGAAGATGATCCTAGTACTTAGGCCTCTGCCACCCACATGAGAGATCCACATGGAGTTCCAGGTTCCTGGTTTTGACCTGGCCCAGCCCCAGTCATTGAGGCCATTTGGGGAGTAAACCAGCAGATGGAATATCTCTGTGTGTGTGTGTGTGTGTGTGTGTGTCTGTCTGTCTGTCTGTCTGTCTTTCCCCCTCCCTCTTTTACTCTGCCTTTCCAATAAGTAAGATAAATCCTTTTAAAAATAGTAAGAGATTTTCAGAGAAGTTTGAAAATATGGACTAAAGTGAATTGTAAAGAAAACTGAAATTGAAATCAAACTTTAATATGCCATCTGCCATTAGGTTTGTAAACTTATAATATAAACATTAAATACCTAGGTTGATGCCTATGTTTAGAGTACCCTCAAGTAAATCAAATATTGACACCAAATGAGTATATTTTCTTGGGATTGACAAACATGTCAATGTAAAAATTACTACTATTCTGGATATTCCATTGAATACATGAGGAGGTGTGAATTAAAGCACTGTCAGTCTCTGATAACCTCAGGCATGAAACAAATGAATTTTAAAAAGGTTGTTTGAAACTTTTCATTTTTAGTTCTACATGCAAACAGCTTAGAAGGTGCCACCCATCAATGGTAACTTACAAGTAAATAGCAGAAGGACTGTAAACAACTCTTTTTAGATTCCTAAGAGAAATGCAGTAGGAACACACTGCTGCCTGCAAAGTTGGAGACGGACATACAAGCACAGAAAATCACAGCCTCAGCAGCAGGAACCTCCGCAGGAACCAGTGCTGGACTGTAATGAATGAACTGCTGGAGACTCTTTGGGGGCAGAGCTAAGAGTGGAAAACTCCAGGGCACCCAGTCTTGGGGGGCCCATACACTTCTGTGAGTTCACCTGAGTTAAGCCAGATCCTAATTAAACATCAGAGGGGAATTCCCTTATGCGTTTTATGGAAGAGGGGAAGAGGATCTTTTTGAAATATGCCAAAGCATTTTGTTTTTAACAAGGTTATCTTCAGTGAAATTTAGTTAACATTTTGGCTAACATTTTGGCTCTAAGACCCTAGCTGAGGTTGGCAGGTTAGCATTGTGATACAGCAGGCTAAGCCATGTCTTGCTATGTGCACATACCCTATCAGGGTGCCTGATTCAACTCCAACTACTCTGGACTTGCCATCCAGAACTCCTGCTAACGTGCCTGAAAGGTAACAGATGATGGTCCAAGCACTTGGATTCCTGCCACCTACATGGGAGATCCAGATGGAGTTCCTGGCTCCTGGCTTTAGCCTGGCTTAGCCTTAGCTGGTGCAGGCATTTAGGGAGTGAACCAGCAGGTGGAGGATTTCTTTGTCTTTCTCTCCATCCAAACTCAATCTTTCTTTCTCTTCCTGTCTCTATGACTCTCCCTCTCCCTCCCTGTTAATATTCCTTTCAAATAAATAAGTTAAAAAAAAATAGCTTAGCTTCTCTGAAGAAAGGAAAATACTCAACTCCAGCCCACAAGAACCAGCTTGTCCAATCCCAACTGACCTGAGTAGAGGGGAGGGAACCTGAGGAACAATTGTGAACCTACCACATTCACTGAAAGACTGAGTCCTTTGTTTACAGATTACCATTCTGACTTCCCACCCTGGAAAAGAAGTGGTCAAACAACTAGAAGAAGGATTGAAAGATACAGACCTGGTCAGGGTCAGGAGACTTCAGGTTGTCGAAATCACAAAGGAAATCCTTGAGCAGGTGCACTCGGCATCCCCTGTTGAAGAGCCTAGCATTGATGGTAAGAACTGTGCTTCAAGTAAAAGCAGTGGTGATATTTTAAATGAGTAGCCATTTTCAGGTTAGTAACATTATTTTCCATGGTCTTTTTGTGTTTTTAGACGGTAAATAAAGCCGTCAGATTTCATTGCAGTTCACATAGGTTTTTCTAGATGATGGGGTCAAAGTGTTTATTACTCTATTTCAGAACAGAGTAATAGAAAAAACAAAAAGTAGTAAAACTAAGATAGTATTTTTTTTTAAAAAAAGTCCCTTCCCTTCTAATCTAAAGAGATTGAAATATCCCTCCCAATGCTCTTCTATATTTGTATATACGTATGTATACACACATACTTGCTATCATAATGGGATCATATTGTACCTAATGTTCTGTGACCCTCTTTGCCTGTATATGTTGTGTAGCTGTATCAGTAAATATAGATCTATTTCTCTCTCAATCTTTTTTTTTTTTTTTTTTTTTTTGCTCAATTGAGAGGAATATCCCAAGTTCCTTTCTTGCTAGTTCAAGCACCAAATGCCCACAGCAGCCTCTGGCTAGACCACATGAAAGCATGGAAACAGGAACTCAATCCAGGTTTCCCGTGTGTGAGACAGGAAGCCAGTTATTTGAGCTGGAACCACTACCCCCAGAGTTCTCTTAGCAGGAACGTGGAATCAAGAGCAGAGCAGAGTATGAAACCCAGGCACTCCAAAGTAGGATGCAACTGTCTTGATGACATACTCTCTTCTCATTTTCTAATGACTGCATGATTTTTATTGTGTACTTATACTGCAGTTTATTTATGAAAGCAATTTGTTTTATTATATGTTACTACTAAACCAATGCTCTATGAATAGACATATGTAGTATTGGTATCATGGACCAATGATAAGTTTAGTCACAAAGGGTCCTGCAGACAAAAAGACCCTATTGAACTGCTTAAAATCTCTAATATGTGAGGAGGCTTGGCACAATAGGCCCTAGTGGCTAAATCCTCACCTTGCATGCACTGGGATTCCATATGGGTGCCAGTCTTTATCCCAGCTGCTCTACTTCCCTTCCAACTCCCGGCTTCTGGTCTGAGAGGGAAGTAGAGGTCGGCCCAACAACTTGGGACCCTGCTCCCACATGGGAGACCTGAAAGAAACTCCTGGCTTCAGATCGGCTCAGCTCCAGCTGTTACAGCCACTTGTGGGTAAGCCAGCGGATGGAAGCTCTTACTCTCTGTATCTCCTCCTCTATGTAAACCTTCCTTTCCAATAAAAATAAGTAAATAAATATTTTTTAATCCTTAATATATTTACCTTTTTTCCCCTTAAAGATTAGTTAATTTGTTTGAAAAGCAGAGTGACAGAGAGACGGGGAGCGATGGAGAATTTTCATCCATTGGTTCATTCCCCTGATGGTCACAACAGAGTGGGCTGGGCCAGGCTGAAGCCAGGATCCAAGAACTCCGTCCAGATCTCCCCTAGGAGTGGCACGGGCCCAATTACTTAGACCAGTCTTCTGCTGGTTTCCAAGGAACATGAGTAGGACCTGGATCTGAAGCAAAGCAACTAGAACCCATGCTCTGAAACAGAATGCCAACATTTTAAGCGGAAGCCTAACCCACTAAACCACAATACCAGCCCAAGTAATTTTTAACTCAGGGGTTAGGTTGTTTTTAAAGATTTATTTATTTGGGCCAGTATTCAGGTTAATCCTCATCCTGCACTGCCAGCATCCAATATAGACAACAGTTCAAGTTCTGGCTGCTCCACTTCTCAACCCAGCTGCTGCTTGTGGCTTGGGAAGAAAGCAGAGGATGGCTCACGTCTTTAAAACCATGTACCCATGTAGAAGACCCTGAAGAAGCTCCTGGATCCTGGCTTCAGATGAGCTCAGCTCTGGTCATTGTGGACATTTGGAAAGTGAAACAGTGGATAGAAGACCGCTCTGCGTCTCTCCGCTCCCTCTCCCTCTTTCTAACTCTGACTTTCAATTTAAATATTTTTTCAGACTATTAGCATGAAGCTGGATGGGAAGTGAAGCAGCAGAAACACAGACTGGCACTCATATGGGATAGCAGCATTGCAGACAGTGGCTTTAATCGCTATACCAACCTTGTTAACCCCTGATTTTATTTGTGTGTTTGTCTTGTAAGTGAAGTTTGATGGATCTGAAGCATGTGCCAGGGCCTTGGGGCCTTAGTTCACACAGGTCCTGCCCCCTGCCTTCCTCCCACCTCCCTGAAATGGTTCTCATTTGCCAGCTCACCCAGTCTCAGTCCCCACCCTACCAGCCACCACACATTTACCACTGCTGACTCTGTTTCCCTCTGACCAATGACCTGGACATGTAGGCCAAGACTGAGTGCACATTACCAGGAGCAGGGCCCAGGCTCCTGGGAGGGTCTGCACTCATTTGGCAAATATCCTAGTACCTGAGAGAGTATGATATTAATGGAAAAGGCCTGAAAGATCATTAAATGGTAAACAAAGTGAATAAGTTTTACAGACCATCTATAACATACCACACTATACCTTTAAAATTTATTAAGAAATGGGCCTGGTGCAATAGTGTAGTGATTAAAGTCCTCACCTTGCACGTGCCAGTTCTAATCCCAGCGGCCCTGCTTCCCATCCAGCTCCCTGCTTGTGGCCTGGGAAAGCAGTCAAGCACCACCCAAAGCCTTGAGACTCTGCACCCGCATGGGAGACCCGGAAGAGCTACTGGCTCTTGGCTTCGGATTGTCTCAGCTCCAGCTTTTGTAGTCACTTGGGGAGTGAACCATCAAATGGAGGATCTTCCTCTCTGTATATCTAACTTTGCAATAAAAATAAATAAATCTTTAAAAAAATTTTATTAAGAAGGTAAATCTCACATTATTCTTGGCAGATTTTTAATTTACTTTTTAATTTATTAACACTTATTTGTTTGAAAAGCAGAAAGAGGGGTGTCCCATCTGCTGGTTCACTTAACCAAATGGCCACAGCAGCCAAGTCTGAGCCAGGCTGAAGACAAAAACCAGGTGCTCTACCCAGGTCTCCCTAGTTTTGAACCTATTCTCCACTGACTTCCCAGGCCCATTTGCAGGGAGCTGAATCAGAAGCAGAATAGCCAGGACTCTAACCAGCACTCAGATATGGGATACCACATCATGAGCAGCAGCTTAACCTAGTAAGCTATAACACCAGCCCTGTCACATTTTTTTTTTCTTTTTAGAAAAAGAAAACAAAATTCTACCATGGTAGCTCAAGAGACCGCAAGAAAAAAAAGTCTATGTTAGTATTTTTTAATTATCATTTTTTTCCTGCTTTTTGAACTGGTGAATCTTCATTTTCATTCTGTTCTGAATCTAAAAATCATGTAGCTTTTTGATTTGTGTGTGTACTTATGTACTTGCACAAGTAGTTGTCTGTAGATTTTTAGAAGTTTGTACAAGATAAAAGATGTATTTCTTATTGTTACTGACAAACTACTCTTAAAAAATCATAACAATTCACATTTACACTGATAATAAGCTAAATTCCCCTACTAGGACTTATCCTTATATGTTTAACTTTGTTAATTTAATATTGAATAAGTTTGTTTTGGTCTTTATTTTTATTTATCATTATTATTTCATTTTATGACACAGTTTCATAGGCTCTGGGATTCCCCCAACCCCTCCCCAAGCCCTCTCCCCATATTGAATTCTTCCATATTGTTACAGTAGTACAGTTCATGTCCAGTCATGATTCCTTCATTGTGGACATGGACCATGTCTATTTATTTATTTATTTATTTAGAAGGTGGAGATGAAGATCTTCCATCCACTCTTTTACTCCCAAAGTGGCCACAACAACCAGGGCTGAGCCAGGCTGAAGCCAGCAGCCTTAATCTCCCATCAGTGTGGCAGAGCCTGGATCAAAAGTGCAATAGCAGGGACATGAACTGGCACTTTTTATAGGATGCCAGTGTCCCAGTGACAGCTTAACTTGTGGCACCACAACCCCAGCCTTGAAAATTTTTCTTAAAATTAGATATTTTACTCTTGAATTAGACTGTGATTTAAAGGGAAAGTATGGAATATTCCTGCAGAGTTCTCCCTGTTTTATTTGCTGTTTGCTTGAATGTCTTTTTCCTTAATATCAACATCCCTAAAAATATTCACATGTATTATAAGCATATGAAAAGTGCGGATGAGGATTCAGGTGCTGTGATACGGCTGGTGTTGTGTTGGGACACCCATTTTATCAGAGCACCCCAGACAGAGTCCTGCTTCTACTTCCAGTCCAACCTTTTGCTGCTGCATGCTCTGGAGGCAGCAGATGATGGCTCCACTACTGGGGTCCTTGATTCCCAGGTGTGATTCAGCTTGACCCTACCTATTTACAGACATTTAGAGAGTGAGCTAGCAGATGAAAGAACAATCTCTCTCTGCCTTCAAATAAATTTAAAGAAATAAGTAAACATTTTTAAATGCTCATTATTTTTTAAATGTAGATAAGCACACATACGTAAATCTAAATCACCCCAGAAGTCTATACTTCCTGGGAATGGGGAGTGGGGAAATAAACTGAACCTTAAAGGACAAGTAGGAATTAGCCAAGCAGAAGACAAAAAAGACCGCTTGAAAACGAGACCCAATGAGCTGACAAAGCAAAATAAGATCAACTCTCACCAATGTGTCCTTGGCTTCCAGGACCAAAGCCTGCTGGGCAGAGGCCTAAGCAAGACTGTGAAGGTAGACAAGGGTTAGATGAGAAGGGCCGTGTATACAATGCTAAAACATTTGAATATCATTCTAGAGCAATGGAAATTTATGAAATATTCTTGTTAGGAAGTCAAGTAGAGATTGCCAAATTACAGAGTCCAAGAGTCTTTTTAAGGTTTTTAATGCGTTCCCATTATGGTTTGCCTTCCTACTGTTCTTTGGTCTCTTCCAAAGATATACACTCATGAAATTGTCCCCTATTTTGATATCCTTGATCACTTCTTGATCCCATGTTGATAATTTTACTCTTCCTTTCTTTGCCTCCTTCGCTCATAGTTAGCTT